AATCAATGCCTGGGCTGTAAAAGTGAATGGGTCCATCAGTAACGAACTGCTGATACCGCCTTCCATAGCTGGTAAGCATGTACAATACTCACATTGACGAGAGGTAAATCTTGTGTAACACACTTCCAACTCTAAGGGGCCTCCTTCAAATTGTAGTGACGTATAATAGAAGAAAATAATTTATTTAATGCATACAACCAATCAACCATACATCGGTGGGTGATTTTAGAGGTAATTTCGAGTAAGAAACGTTTATATAACATTTGTTCTGTTTCCAAACGTTTCTAAGCTATGTCCGTTTCAAGGTGCACACACGAAACAGTAAATGAGAGTATATAATTCAGATAAAATTTCTACTGTTCAAAATGTCCGCCATGGTTTACAACACACAGACTTTCTCGTTACATATATGGTTCTACAGCTACCTTAATCACTTCTGGGTGTTCTCATACGTACAGAGTTTCTGTGTTCCTCCCTCGCTAATTACCGATTTTGATATAAGACGTGTACCTAAATACAAGGCGTGACGACATTTCGGTATTCACGTTGCAAATGGATGGGATATATTCTGAATTTGGAAGTTCGGTAAACGTCTTCGTTACTTTTAGACTTCTACTTCATAAAAAATCAGTTTATTCGACTGGCGTGAATCATCAGTTCATTTTACTTTGACACAAAATCACATTTGACTCTCACCGCGGATAAGAGATGCTAGGGATCAAAACTAACAGACGACTCATATAAGAAGCAACTGATAATTTCTGGAAACATATTCAACCGAAACCGTTACCAGTATTTCCATCTGTCGAAGTATGTGCAAGTAGGTGGTAGCATCAATTGAAACTGTTACAAGTGTTGCCATCTATGGAAAGACACGTAAGTAGGTGGCAACATCAACTACAGCGTGTGCTGCCATCTGTCGAACAACGTACAAATAGGCGTTTCCACGTCTTAAAACGCCCGTAGCTCCGTAACGATTAGAAATTGGAAAAATACTGTACCAAAAATTTTATACTCAAAAATGCCTCCCAAATCACCCCCTGACCGATGCCTGACGGGTTGTGAAACATTCGGTGTATTTAAAGTTAATTGCAGTTTCTTATCTTCAGTTTATTGATAGATATAAAGCAGATGTACGTAAGTGCGTTCCACGGAACTTTCAAAATCGAAGACATAATTTTGTCAATTTCCTTCAAACTATCTTTTGCTGAAATACGCAAACCAGACTAATGTTTGTTCACACTGACACACATACATACATGCTATTGGTTGCAAAATCTTAAGGGAAAGACAACTTGAAAGACTTAGGCGCACATGAAATAATACCTATATAATGGATCTTAGAAAACGAGGGTGAGAAGGTGTGGTATGGATCCAAATGGCTCAGATATAGAATCAAATGGCAGGCTTATGTTAACATGGAAATTAACATTTGGGTCTCATAAAAGCAGAGATATTCTGCGACAAATATTTCTGTCACCTTTTACTATGGAATTATTTGAAAGAGGTTTTAATTTGGTGACTTACATTTTCGCTTTCAGGTTCTGGAGGTGTGCTGCCTTTAAAACCAATTGTGGTTCATGAAGGAGAAAATGTTCGGTTGCGGTGCGCAGCTACAGGGAATCCCCGCCCCATTGTGGAATGGCGCAAATTGGACGGTTCAGTGATTCCTCTCGGTTCTTGGCAAGGTAGAGACAGCAGTGCTTCGATCCCTAGGAGGAAATAATTTTGTGGGAGTTAATTAATTGAACTATACAAACTGGTTCCATTAGTGTCATCATGACAAATCATCAAAACCTTCAGCTAACTCACCTGGTAGTTTATGTGGAAGTATTTCAATATTTTGGGAGTCCTGATTCAGATCTCTGCTATAGCTCTGTTAATCACGACTACGAGTTTTGGCAGTATATTGCACTCTATGCACATAAATGCTAATATACTGCAAAATTCCATGACTGCTTGCTTCCAAATACATACTCAACATTTATAACCATATGTCCAACTAATTTAATGTTATGTAACCTCTGAAGTTGAAGTAGCATAGTTAAGTAACTCATCATTTTAATTTGAACAACATTCTCCGAAATTTTCGCTTCCATTCGGTACATGATCAAAACTAGCTGTTTTGAAGTACCTGTGGGTTATCGGGACACATCGCTTTAAAAATAGGTTAGGTTAGGTTAGGTTAGGTTAACTTTCAAATATATGTTATTTATCCACACAAATTAACCTAACCTAACCAAACCCAACCTAACCTAACCTAACCTAACCTAACCTAACCTAACCTAACCTAACCTAACCTAACCTAACCTAACCTAACCTAACCTAACCCAACCTAACCTAACCTATTCTAACCTAATCTAACATAACCTATTTTTAAAGCGATGTTCCCGATAACCTACAAGTACCCTGTTTTGATTTTGTGGTTGAAAAACACTGACTGGTACACAAATAAACATGTTTTGCAAGATCTTAGTTGTTGAAGAAAATGTACGTGCGTATATCTGTTAACAGCTGTTTCCATACCCGGACATACACTGAACATCACGCGTATCAATCGTGGTCACATGGGGACTTACAACTGTATTGCTGACAACGGAGTGCCCCCTGCAGCAAACCAGACCTTCCTCCTCGAAGTTCACTGTATGTAATTATTTATGAAACGAGATAATATGATTTATCATCAACATTATGGATCACGTTTTTGGACTATTCTAGTTAGAAGTATTAAAATATTTATTCTGTTTTCATACGAGACATCCCTCACAAATCTACTATTTTAATTACAGAATTATATAATAATTATAATTAATAATTAATTATATAATTATATCAAGTATGGCTATATAAGATTTCTGTTTAAGACCGACAACTGCCCTGTAATTTATAATGCAGCGTAAACAGCTGTCAAATAAAATAAAGCATTATATTTCAGAAGAAGGTCAAATCTTTAATGTAGATATTGTACCAACAGTTCCGCCACTGATACGCATCCAGAATCAGGTGGTGGGAGTTGTAAATGGATCAGCAGGTGTTCTGAAATGTGATGTTGAGGCATTCCCTGAGGCAGTACGTTACTGGGAAAGAACAGACGGTCAAATCCTGGAATCCGGACCAAAGTATCAAATGGTCTCAATCGAAAATGACCGATACAAGGTAAGCGAGTGATGTTTTAATCAATTAGGAATAATTATACAGGATGTGGGCCTTAATTTAAGATAAAAATTTCAAAGTACGAGTTCTGACTAAATAATCACACAAGACACCGATTCCTCAATTTAGGAACACAATTCACTCGATGAAAACTAAAATTCATAAACAAAGAATGGAATTCCTATTAATTTCAAATTAAAATATCTCGAATGTTCCAAATTCCCAGGAAAATCACCCACTGTTTTTCTCCACAAGTTAGAATACCGTGATACAATCATAAAAATAACATCACCATAATGAATCATGGATGTAATGATCGTAAATTGAAAAATAGGTATAAATTTACATGGTTTGTCATCGTTAAAATTTGTAAATTGGAAGTCTTCTGAGTTGCTCTGAGTAGTCCAGTAGAAGTTTCAAAAATTGTGTATCTAACATGTGCTGTCATTTTTAGGTACACATGGAACTTAGCATTACAAATGTTGTGCCATCAGACTTTGGATTATACCACTGCATAGCCAAGAACGAAATGGGAATCACAAAGGGTATCTTCACGGTGTTTGGTACGTTAAAGAAATTTTATTAATTTACATTGTACAATGAATTAATTGAAATACCAGCACAAGGGCACACTTACCATTCAATACATTGATAATATAAGTATAATTCGCTAATGTAATATCTGCCCGCGCGGTCTGAAGCCTGGGCCTTGTGCCGTTTGGTCGCTGGGACCGTGGTTTCGAATCCCACTCAAGCCATGGATGATTGTCTATGTTGTGTTGTCCTGTGTACAGGTAGAGGCCTTGCGACGGGCCGATCCCTCGTCCAAGGAGTCCTACCGAATGTCTATAGATCAAGCCAACGAAAAGTTGGGACCCGCAGTGCTCACGCACTTCCTAGTATCCAGTAAACAGTAATATTTGCAATGTTCTTAATTAAAACTGAGTTTCATTAATTCACAATTAGGATGTTTAATAACAGTAACCAATCGACATAAGTGGGAATGCCCGTGGATGATTATTGACTGTCATCACTTTTATGACTGATTTTTATGCAGTAGGTGAGAGAAATTTCCTTCAGAAAAAAATCAAAACACTGTTACCGTAACAGCAATAATAAATAATATATTCAGAGGTAAAATGTAGTATTTATAATAACTTTCTACTTAACATTTACGCAATTGAGATGGGATACTTTCAGATACAAACACATTTTATCTTAATTCTTTAAAGAGACCAGTTATCCTGACTGAGGTTTCGAGGTTTTCACGTTTCCTTTTCAGTTCCTCCGTGCAATTGTATTACAGTATCTAAGAAATTAGCCACAACACCTTACTCCTACATCCTCGCTTATTAATCATCCATAATAATCCTGTCATTTCTCATTTGGGGCAAATATAACTTAACAACTTCACAGGAAATCACTAAAAAACAAAGAAACTAATAAGTAAACACAAATATTACTAGTAACAGCTGTTGGAAAATTATTTCTGAAACATTTTCTTTTACAGAGGTTGACCCAAGATTAGCAACACCACCGCCTGTGCAGATCAGCGGTCAGGGCGAAGTAACATATGGGGAGGGACCCCCTAAACCAGTAGATCTTGATGACCTCTGCCCTCCACCTTCATGCCCAGAATGCCCTGCACCAACAGAGTTCAAGTGTCATGACGGAGGCATTTCACTCTTCCATCTGATTGGAAGAATGGAGATCAAACCGTTCGG